TAATCTATATTGGGCTGCTGCTTCTTTATAACTATCATATTTATAAATACCAACAGTTATAGCATCATCAAATCCTGTAACACCTTCTCTTCTATTTAATATAGCTCTTAAGTAAAATCTCTCTTCATTTTTTGGGTTTACAAAATGCATTCAAGAAATTACTTTTTCACCACCTCCTTTTCTTTTTCTCCAATTATTTTCTTTCCAAATATAATGTTTTGAAACATCTATATATTTTAACTTTTAAATATCAGGATCAGCAGGATTATTTTTACAAAGTTCAAAATATCTTGTTAACTTTGTATGTTGTTCTTTTTCCAACATTAATGGTATATTTTAGTCTTTTCTAAAATAAATATTTTGTTGGCCTTCCAAGTGAATAGGTAGCCTTTCAACAGTATGGGACCTTTTTTGTAAACCAAAATTAAATAATCTCTATATTCTTTCTGAAGAAGAAACATATCTTGCATTTACAAATTTTTTCTAATTTCATTTTTTTCATTTTCTAATGAAATTAAGACCCTATCATCTTCTTTGTATATATATTTGTAGAGATATTTAACTGATTTAATACTTGAACATATCTCTATATTGATATGACAATTAAATTTTTGACTTAAATATGGATTATAAGAAACAATCTATCTATTGTCAATATCAAATGATACCCCTTTTTTCTTGATAATTCTTCTATTTTTTCTTCTTTTATAAGTAGGATATCTACTTTTATTTGTTGTGCTTGTATCAGCAAAATCTCTTGGAAAATATTTACTACATTTTCTATCAACCATACATGGAGATTTTGGATTTACACCTCTACAGGGTCTATGAATCATGTTTCTAGTTACTGTTCTATATAATTTTGGTTGTGCATCTTTATTAGGTATCTTTGCAGATACTATTTGATCAAAATCTTCAGAAGTTTGTGGTTTCTCTTTATCTGCTAGCATTATTAAAATATGTGCATGTGGCAATCCCTTTTTTTGAAACTCAATTATTTGAATATAAGCAATAACTTCTCCAAGTATCCCTCTTACAAATAAATCATGTGTTATTGCTTCTAATTTTAATTTAAAAACTCTTGCAACTAAATCTGGCCTATCAGGAGCTTGTTGATCATATAAAAGTTCTTGTGTAATTTCAGGCCATTTTGAATTATATGTAACTGTAATAAATAAGTCAGGTTTTCCAAATTCTCTTACAATTGACATTGCATCCTGATATAATTGTTGAAAATATCTTGTAGATCCTATAAAACTTGATAATAATATTATTTGTCACAGCTGATTATGAAATTGGATTATTGTGAAATTTGGATCTATTTCATGTACGATGTTTAAATTTTTTTGGGCCTTTTTTGTAGGCTTTTTTTTTATAGTTGAGTTAGGATTTAGGGTTAGCGTTTTTAATAAAAGAGTATTGGTAGATTTTGGTAGGGCCTATATTTTTAAATTGAGACCCCAAATTTTACAATAATCTGATTTCATAATCAGCCGTGACATTATTTGTTTGCCAACTTGATTTATATTGCTATCTTCAGTATAAATCATATCATTTAATCCATGAAATATTTCAGTTCTTAATTTGGGCTGATTATTTTTTTGCCAAATTAAATTATTTGTCTCTCATTTTACATATTGATATATTATATATTGCTGAAATAATCTTCTAGCAAGATGCAATGTACTTTTTGTTCTATTTGAGTCTCTATACATAAATCTATATGCTGCAAACTCCCTAATAGATACAGTTTTTCTTTTTCCTTTTTGTTTTTCTTGTTGAACCTTTAATGATTTTTTTGAATCTTCACCATCATCACCATCATTATCATCATCATCACTATTATCATCACTATAATTACTATTATAATCAAAATTAAATTGTTTTTCAAAACCAATTGATAATTCTCTTTTAAAACAAATTGGTAATTTAACCCCTTCTTCTTGATATTCTTCATGTTCTTCATATACTTTATATTCAGGTTTAACAATTTCTTTTTTTTTTCTTTTTAATATACCATCATCATAATCAACTGCTTTTCCTTTCCCTTTAATATCTTTAACTTCAACTTTATCTTCATCTTCATCTTTATCCTCATTTTCTTCTTTATCTGATCCAATATAAGTTATTTTATATGCTTTTTCTTTTTCTTTTTCTTTTTTTGTTTTTCTTATTTTAGATGATTTTTCTACAACTTTACTGGATTTACCAACATCACCAGTATCACTAACACTCATACTTGTAGAAGATCTAAGAGCTACATCTTCTATTGTTTGAGTTAAATCTGTTTCTTGTCTTTGTAATAAAGATTCAAATATAACAGGCATTATTGCTTGAGGTTCTTCTTCTGTTTCTTCTGTTTTCTTTATTTCTATTTTAACATCTTCAGGGATTATTTCTTCTTGTTCTTGTTGAATTACTTTTTTTTGTTGCAAAGATTTAATTTTTCATTATTAAATTTTTTTTGTAATTCAGTAATATCAGGTTGTTTTAAGTTTTCTTGATGATATTTGATAAGATGTTTATTTATATATTCTTTATACAAATTATCAACAATATTTAATTGTTCAACAACCTGTTGTTCTTCTGCAACTACTGCAGATTCTGCAGCTTCTGCAATTTCTGCAATATCTTCCATAGTTTCTTCAACAATTTCTTCAACAATTTCTTTAACTTCTATTTCTTCTTTATCAACAATATTTGCTCTTAATATTTCTTTATGCCAACCATATTCTCTATATGGAAATAACAAAGGATATTGTAAAGGATCATATGCACCATGTATTTCTGATATTCTTACAAATTTATTATCATTTCTTTTAATAAGAATATCTCTGTTTGATGGTGTTGGATTAATACAATATAATGCAGCTATTTCTGAACATGCTAGTGCATTATAGTTTTTCATATCCTTGCCATGAGTATTATGAATTACTATATTTAATATCTCATAATTTTGTTCTATTTCTTTATCTTTTGCAGATACAAATATTTGAACAAAAAGATTTTTATAAAACAGATCCCACTGGAGTTCTCTTAATATATCAGAACTTAATGATAACTCTATCATTTTATTTCTTCTTTCAACTTGTTTATCAAAGTTCATTCTATTATAAAAATATATTTGAACAATTTTTGGTTCAGGATCTTTTCCTATAATACTTTTAGGCATAAAAGAACCATGTCGATAAAAATATTGTCCCTGAATTTTATATGTATAAACCCCTTTTTAGCAGTAGCATATTTTGAATCCAAGTTTGTATAAATTGATATAAAGGCAAATACTTGATTATATGCCCTTAGTTTGTTAATATAAGGTTCTTTAGTAATTAGATTTTTTGTAGTAAATAACTTAAAAATTAAATCAGATGGTAGTTGAAATAGTGCTAATTGGATTTTTCCTTGCAAGTAGTAAAACCCTTTAGTTTCCTCTTCCATTTTAAAGCTAAATATTTATCACAAATAATGTCTATTGCTCCTATTCTATGTCTACCATCTTCCACATCTTTTCTCTCTATCTCATTTTCCAAATGTTCATCTAAACTACAAAGTCCTTTTCTATAAAATTGTTCAATTTCCTCTTCTTTCTTCTCCTTATATTTTTCCTCATTCTGTTTCTATTTTTTCTTCTTTTTTCTGCTTTTTGAGCTGGTTTTATAGAAGCTCTTCTTTTTT